GAACCTGTGGAAGATTCATCAGTTTCCTCAACAGTCCTAGATGAATGCTTCTTGTGGCTTTTGTTCTTTTTGGACTTTCTTTTCTTATCTGACGACATATGCTGCAGTAACTCTATAGGGATGCTGTCCCCAAGGAACCCTGTGATATCAAAAGGAATTGAACAAATTTAGTATATACAATCTAATGTTGAGATGTGAGTTGCGTAAAGAAAGGACGTTAAGGGAATCAAGAAATTCACCTCCATATTCGTCAAAGATATCTTCAGCGACAATTTGTTGATTTGGATCGTCAGGATCAAAACCACCACGAGGAGGACTCAAGCCTGGCTTTTGTTTCAACTCCCACTTCAGAGGCTGCAAAAAGTAGAGAACATTTCTGGTTAATGAAACAAACACCATCCAACCTTCAGTTTTCCAAAACTAAGCCTACTAGATATTGGAAGATTTTCAAGGATGAGCATTAAGGGAAATTAAGACCAACCTCGCCGGGATCTGTATGTGCAATGATAGTAGTCAATGGATCATCTCTTTTCAATCGATGTTCTTCATTTGGCATTACTACATCCCTTAATGGACATTCACGATCACCACTTTGGTGCCCAAAGTTTCCACATCTCAGACATTTCACATTACGCACTTCGACTGCAAATGGCTTAACTCTCCCAGCAATACCAGTCTCCAGCCTGCACAATTCCAATCATAGTAAGTTACGAGAAAATATTCGCTTACACGTTGCTTTATTTCCACTATGACACTTGAATACTTACCAAACAAGACATCTGAAAGTAGAAAGAATTGACAATACCTCGGTGCATTTTTAAGGACCTCAAATTCCTCTTCAGTGGGAAGAGCACGCCCAAAAACATCTTTGGGTCGTGGTTTCTTCCTTTCCTGGCCTGTACGGTCATTCCCAGCTAGTGATTCTTCTGGTCTGCATTCCATTAAAGAGAAAGAAAAGAAGAAAATAAATTATAGTAGAACTTCCCCCAAAAGATTGAAGTTTACATAGTTCTTTAGCGATAAATTGACAAACCAAACATCTATTTCTGTCACACATACTTCGAACCAACATTTTCATCCACCATTGGATCCTGAGTCGAAGTACCCTGACCCTCGTGTTTCTCATCGGCGTGTTCTGCTGCTTTGGCACTTTCAGAGTCATAGCCAGGTGGGCGAACATACATAAAACTCACGGCTTTCATCATTTCGATCTGCACATTACACTCATGATCAATATCATCAAACACAAAACTCCGTAAATTCACTAGGTCACCAAATTTCATTGCTCCTAAAGATTTTGACATCTACCTAAGAATCAAAGAGTTCTAAGAGTTGACACAATCTTTCAAATGGATTCTGATTGCTAAATCCAGAATTAAGAATTATAATGACCATAATACAGAAACTCTAATCTAAAGCATTAGGGCATTGTGAGCAAAGTTATCCTGAGAATTAGAACCCACCTACGGTACTCAAAACAAGATCTGAATAACATAAACCCTAATCAGAATTAAGGAAAACTAACCTTCTCTCTTTCTTTCTTCGAGATGAGAGCCGCTTGCTTGAAGAATTCCTGCTCTTGCGCAAACTGTAAAATCCACGAAAAAGGTATATAAGCAAAACACGAATCGATTCAATTAACCACAACTAAGAGACAATTCGAGACCATGAACGTACCTCGCGAGCCACCTCTTCGGCTCTGCGATCGTGTTGAGCGTGAGTCTGCTCGGCAATCCACTTGCGACGCTGGTTGGGATAAGAAAGAGGATGCCATGGCTTCTGGTTCAGGAACGAGTGGCTCCAAGCGGTACCGGATTTCTCCTTGTAATCGACCTCTAAGCTACCGCCGGTGACTTTTCCGCCGGCGAATCTCTTGCTCAGCCGTATTCCGCTTCCTTCTACGCCGTCCATCTCTCTGTGCCGGAACAATTGCCGATGTGAGATTCACCCAATGACTCAATTGTGTTTGAGCCAGGGCTTTTTGGTTATATTCATATTACCTGAAGAAAAATATGATTTCTCTATAATATATTCATATATATTAAATTGCGTAATACCATTAAATATTTTTACTAAAAAAAGGGAATTTGATTTGAAAAAATAAATTTGATTTGAAATTTATTTGAATGTCATTAGTAGAATGAAAACCAAAAAAAAATTGGAACATAAAATATCACTTTTTGTATCCACATTTGCAAAAATATTTACTTGGTGTCCATTTGTAAAAATACCACTAATTATGATTTTTTAGACCTTAAATCTTAAAATTCTAAACTCTAAAAAATCTTTTGACCCCTAAAACCCTTTAAATCCTCAAAACTAAACTC